CTTTAATTCCATAGTTGTCAGACTTCCATCCAACTCAACATCCAACAGTTCTGAGTGATGGTTCTTCTATAATTTAATTGTAATTTTGATGTGGTTGAGTGAGGAGGTGAGCTGTGTTTACCTATGGCTGAACCTTGACTGGAAGTCCACAACTGATTTTTATATATTGATCTTATATCCTGCAATACTGTTGCACACACTATTAGTTCTAATATTTTTTTGGAAAATCCACCAAATTTTTGACATAGATAAATGTCATATATGAATAAGACAGTTTTACTCCTTCCCTACTGACTGCCTTTTATTTCTTCCTTATTGCATTGACTGGAACCTCAGTATAATACTGGATAAGTGATGAAAATGGACACTCAAGCCCTGGCTGGTGTGGCTCACTGGACTGAGCCCTGGCCTGTGAACCAAAGGGTCACTGGTTCCATCCCCAGTCAGGGCACATGCCTGGGTTGCAGGTCAGGTCCCCAGTTGGGGGCATGCGAGAGGCAACCACACACTGGTGTTTTTCTCCCTCCCTTCTCCTCACTCTAAAAATAAAATAAAGTCTTCAAATATAAAAAAAGGAAGTGGACATCCTTGCCTCATAGCCAGTCTCAGTGAAAAAGCATTTCATATTTCACCATTAAGTATGCTATTAGTTGTAGGGTTCTTATAGATGCTCTTTTTGGGGGGAAGATGATACTCTATTCTATTTCTAGTTTGCTGACAGATTTTACCAAAATTGAATGTGAGATTTGTGTCAAGTAAATAGGTAGGAAAATGCAAATAAAATGCTGATGGGATACCATTGCACATCTACTAGAATGGCTAAAATATAAAAGACTAACCATACCAAGTATTGGTGAGGATGTGAAGCAATTGGAATTCTTATTCAGTACTGGTGGGCATGTGGTACAACCACTTTGGAAAACAGTTTGACAGTTTCTTTAAAAGTTAAGCACTGGCTGGTATAGCTCAGTGGATTGAGTGCAAGCCTGAAAACCAAAGGGTTGCTGGTTCAATCCCCAGTTGGGGCACATGGCTGGGTTGTAGGCCATGTCCCCAGTAGGGGCCGCACGAGAGGCAACCACATGTTGATGTATCTTTGCCCTTCTCCCTCCCTTCTCCTCTCTCTAAAAAATAAATTTAAAAAATCTTCCTAAAAAGTGAAAAAGGTACTTAGCCAGAAGAAATGAAAGCACAAGTCCACACAAAAGCTTGTACATGAAGGTTTACAGTTGCTTTATTCGGCATACCCAAACACTGGAAACAACCTGAATGTTCATCAACAGGTGAATGGGTAAATAACTGAGCAATATTCATACCACACACCACTACTGATACCTGAAATAATGTGAATGGACCCCAAAATAATTATGCTGAGTGAAAGTAGTAAAACAAAAAATAATATATACTATATGATTCATTTATACAAAATTATTGAAAATTCAATCAAGTCTGCACAGACAGAAAGCAGATCAGCGGGTGAGGGTGGGGTGTCAGGGCGAGGCAAGAGGAGGGGAACATGAAGAAGCTTTTGCAGGTGATGGCTATGTCCATTGTGGTCGTGGTAATGGTTTCATGGGTGTACAAAAATATCAAAACTTATCAAATTGTACACTTTACATGCCATTATTGCATGCCAATTGTATCTCAATAAAGCTGTTCAGAAATGGAATAATAAAATAATGTTAGGACAATGTTAGTGTAAATTATTACTAAAAGAACATATTCACAATATTACAAAATAACGATGCTCTGAGATTAACCACAAAGTTAACAAACACTAGTGGGGTGCGGGAGAGAGTCCCGAAATAAAAGCAGTTAAAGTTCTCATTATAACGTAGGATATCAAAAGTTGGGGTTATTCTTGATTTTGATATTTACAGAATATCAGGGCTTTTTTAAGTAAGGAGGAACTTCCAGTCCAGCAGCAGCAACTCTGGTTAGCCATTGGGGCCTCCCATTTTAAAGGCTGTCAGTGCCAACCTATCAAAGACTGGGGAACAGGCTGCTGGCTTCCCGGGTCACATCCTGTGACCCTTCCAAATTCGCAGAGGCAGGAACCAGGTCAGCGACCTCCCCAAGGGCACATGAGACCCACCAACCCCACCTCCTCTCTCTGCTTCATCCCTGCCTCCTTGGTGCATTAACAATGCAGTCAGTGATCACCCGGGAATCCCACTGCTGAGCACGTACCTGAAGGAAAGGAAATCGCTCTCTCAAAGACATAGCTGCACCCAGTTTCTCTCCCTCTCTTTCTCCCTCCCTTCCCCTCTCTAAAAGTAAATAAAATCTTTAAAAAATATATGGTACATTTTATATATATGTACACATATATACATAAAAATTACACTGGAATATTATTCAGCCAAAACAAAGGAAGAAACTGCCTTTTGCTACAACATGGATGGACCTGAGGGCATTTAAACCCAAGCAGAGTGGAGAATGCCAGGACCGGGGTGGGGATGAGGGAACGTTGGTCAAAGGCGCAAACTTCCAGCTATGAGATGGCTAAGTCCTGGGGTCGAATGTACAGCACGGTCACTATATTTAGCAATACTATAGCATATGGTCGAAAGTTGCCAAGAAAGTAGATCTTAAATGTTTTTACCACCAGTATGTGTGTGTGTGTGTGTGTGTGTGTGTGTGTAAATATATACACACACATCGTATATCTGTGTGTATGGCAATTACGTGATGTGATGAAGGTGTGATGTGATAACCTTATTTTGTGGTGATCGTTTTGCAATATATACACAAATCAAATCATGTTATACACCTTGAAATTATATACGTTATCTGTCTGTTGTATCTCAGTAAAGGGGGAGGAAAACCAGTCGGTGACCTCTCAGTCTGATACCGCACTGTAGCTTCACATCCGTCCTGAGCATCGAGTCTCTTCACCAGTGCGGGCGGGGAGAGATGGGCTGCTTTCGAAACCGGGGAGGTGGCCCTGCGTCCCCTCACACTGCTGGACGCAGGGCTTCTGGGCATGGGCTGTGGTGACAGACATGGGGGCTTTACAGTTGCTCCTTGTGCACAGGTGGACCCCCAGGGTCCTCAGATAGGATGGGAATAAACCCCGCCCCCTGTATGAAAGGCTTTTTCATAGAACCTAGCAAATAGCAATCCTGAAAAATACAGTTTTTGTTGTTATTATTAAAATTATCATTGAGGCAATGGCTATTAAACCAGCACCTGAGAGCTTTAAATTTGGTCAATACTTTTTCTTTTATTCTTTCTTTCCCCCATTACACAAGCTCTTTCCAAGGCTGCAGTATTTAAAATACCGAACACAGAGGCTGGTCGGGGTAGGCACTCAGTAGTCAATGCTCATCCCTGCTGTCACTGCCCTCGCTGGGGAACAGGCACTGGGGACACGAAGACCAACAGGGCTCAGGCCCATTCCCCAAGGAGCTTCCCGTCGAGGGGAGAGGGAGAGGTGCACCCCAAGGTGCCAGGGAACCTGAGGTTGGTGCCACAGAGAACGTCTGTGGGGCTCTGAGGGAAGGAGGCTGGGATTCCACGGCCCCGGGGCTGGCACGCCCTGTGAGCACCGTCCCGCGACCTCGGGCACTGTCACTGCTGCCTGGAGATGCCCCTCGCAGGCGCACTGCAGGCGCGTTTGAACAACCCCAGTCCTAGAAGTGACAGCTGTGGGGCTCAGTGGGGAGTCAGGAAGCTGTACTCCCCGGGCCACAGACTTGGGATGAGTATGAGGTACTCGGAGGAATGGGGCCCAGCTCACAAACGCTGCTGAGAGGAGCCCCAAATGGCCCGGGCTCCAACTTGCAAAGGGACCCCACCCCCACCCCCCGCAGCCTTTAGACCAGTCCTGGCCCCAGCGGCAGGGGAGCAGAGGGCCCAGGCCCTGGAGCCGGGACAGAGCCACCTGGTGGGGAGCGAGGAAACAGGCACTGCGTGGAATGATGCCCTGCTGGCTTCCAGGTGGTTTCTGGAGCCCTGTCTCACGCTGCATTCCGTTGCAGCCATTTTCTGAGCGCCCACTGTGGGCCAACACCGCTCTGGAAGCCAGGGACACACTCCTAGAGACACATGGCCCCGGCTGTCAGGGAGCTGTTTGTCTGCCAGTGGGAATCCCGGAAGGAGACACCGGCAGAGCGGGTTAACAGAGCCTGGTGACCAGTCAGCCCCAGCACTCGGCCGAGGGGAGCCCGCAGTGCCTGCCAAGCTCTCGGGCCTGGCCAACTGAAGCGGCCAGGGAGCTCGTTCCAGGAACAGGTGATCTACAGAGAGGTGTAAAGTTCAGTTTGGGTCACGTTGAGGCTGATGCAATTTCTCCCGTCGGCTCCTCATCGGTGAGAACCAACAGAATTTGTGGGAGGAAAACAAAACTCGGGCCAGAGTGGGATGTTCCGGAGGGGCCTGAGGGAGGCAGGGAGCCATGGACTCTGCACTGCACCCACAGGCACGGGGCAGAGGGGACCCGGTCAGGGGTCGGGAGCCTGCCTGTGTTCCAGTCTGACTCCCCCCACCCCGGGCAAGCTGTTCCACTTTCCGAGCTCTTGGCATCTGCGAAATGCAGATGACAAAACTCTCCTTGCCTATTTCGCAGGGCGGCTTTGAAGAATCTGGAAGAAATTTATGAATTGTATAAGGCTCTCTAAATAAAAGGGGTCAAGTCCAAGGTCCTCCATGGGAAAGCTGAGGCTTACATTGATGTTTCCTGCCCGCAGCCCCTCCATGGTGACTGAGAGCTACTGATGTCTGGTGCCTCTGCCCCTCTGTCCCACCTCTGCCCCCCGGGTGCCTGCCCCACTGAGCCTCCCTTGGAGGCCATCCCAGAAGATGAGACCCTAAGACTCCAAGCCTGTCTGCAGCACAAACAGAACTGCCGCCTGCACAGCTCGAGCCAAGGTCAGCCTCTGCAGGACACGTTCCAGCCCAGGAGGAAGGCAGCCCAGGAACCAGGAGACACCCGGACCACCCAGGGCCCCTGAGTCCCCCCAGGCTGGGTGGGCAACTGGGAAACAAGAGATGTCCAGTTCTGAGCATGTGCTCCGAAGAGGTTTATTGATGCCCACATTCTTGCCAAGAACCAGGGGCTAAAAGCATCCTGCTGGGGAAGCAAGGCCACCGCAGGCTGATAGGCTGGACATCCATGGGGACGGTGGTGTTTCTACCTCAAGCATAGCCCTTTGCCCTCTAAGTCCCCTGCTATGAGGCAGAGCAGTCCAGCCCATAGAGAAATGAGGTCTTAGAGGTTTCTTGACTTGTCTGACATCTGCCAGCCCCCCAGAAACCTGGACCCAGACCCTCTGTGCATTCCCCACCTTGGCCAGTATCAGAAACCACGAGTCAGGCAGAGTCGTCCCTCCCCATCCTCACCCCTGCAGCCTCTGGCACTCCCAGAACCTGACGACTACAGTCTGGTGCGGACAAACTCAACCAGGTCCTCCAGCTGCTCCTCCAGGCGCTGCTCGTCCCCATGGTTCTCAATGACCCAGTCGAAGTCCCCAAAGTTGTCCAGGCCACATTCGGACTCACCATCATCCACTCCTGTGGAGGTGGCAAGGTGAGGTCAAGCCCGCTCCCTCAGGACAACCAGGCATTGCGCATGCACAGAGGCCCCAGATGGAGCGGCCCTCTCTTCTGCCACTCTGGAGCCAAGCTCCCCCCACCCAAAGGAGGGTACTTGCAGACCTCCTGAAACACCCTGGGAGCCGGTTCAGTAGCCTGCAGCCACCTGAGCCCTCAGAGGGTTCTGCCCACTAAACTCTTCACTTGTCACTTCCTACAGAGCGGGACTGGGTCATCTGAAATCGCAGACAATGCAATAGGGCAGCAGGTCCCCAACCCTTTAGGCACCAGGGACCGGTTTCGTGGAGACAATTTTTCCACAGACAGTGGGTAATGTGAATGAAGCCTCGCCCGCTAGCCCGCTGCTCAGCTCCTGCTGTGGGGCCCAGTTCCTCACAGGCCACAGACCAGGACCAGGCCGAGGCCCGGGGACTGGGGACCCCTGCAATAGGGCACTGCATCTTCACTTTATGTGAAGATCAGTATGTTGCTTGCTTTCTGCCCTTAAATCTCTGATTCAATCCTCTTGGGAGGCAGCATATGTCCTCTCATCTGACAATGAGAAGAGTGATACCAGGATCACCCGGTGGGTTTGATGTGTCTATAAAATGAGCTTCAAAGCACTTAGCACAGGCCTGGCCTGTGGTGAGCGCCAAGGAGATGAGCAGCCGTCAGGAAGGGTTGGATTCAGTGGATCTGAACTCTCCCAAGTCACAGGGAACTAGGGCAGGAGGCGGCCTACACTCTGCCTCTGAATTGCCACAGAGCAGGTCCCGGGCTTGCACCACTAAGGCTGCCTTAGTATAGCTTCCTCTTGCCCAGCCCACTCTTACTCAAGCAGCAATGAGTTGTCAGGCCTGCCTCTGACCCACTGTCAGCCCCCCTAGGCTGGGGGTGGGTCCCAGACAGACCTCCAGGGGCCCGCTGGCCTAGGAAGGACAGCCCAGGTAAGGGTATAAAGCCAACATCATGGGGAACCTCTACTCCTCCCCACCCACCCCCCTGCCACAGGACACCTGCCCCTACCCCACACCACGTTCTAACCTGGGGACACTTGCAAGTCTCAGATTCCCTTTTCTAATCCCTCAATCATTCCCCCACAGCCTACCAGGGAGAGAGCAGGTGGCCTGGTATAAAAGTGGGGCGCACCGAGCTCTGGGGCAACGGCTGTGCCCAGCTCACCTGGCGTGAACACCCAGCCCCGCTGCTGCCGGCTCTGCTCCAAGGCCACCACACGCACCGTCTGCGTCACAGCCCCGTACGTTTCCTGGAACCACTGGATGTCAGACACCCTCCGTGTGTCACTCACCAGCTGCAGGGCAGGAACAGACAGGTGACCACGAGGACGTGGTGCAGGGCACAGCAGGGCAGGGCACTGAGGGGAGGGGACAAGGAGGGGAAGACCGGCTCCACTCCGAATAAACGGGAGCACGAGGCTGGCAGGCGCACTGCAGAGCCCGGACGAGTGCCCTCCTCCCCCATTATCACCCTACCAGCTGGGGCCGACACCGCTGCTTCCCTCCAGGCAGCCCTCCTGGTTGCTGCAGCCCACAGCCCACTCTGCCACACTCTCTCTGTCACGGACACACGTGTGTCCGATGGGCGTGCTGGTCATCGCTGTGCTAAAGAAAGGGCCTCAGGCTTTGAAATAAGTTCAGCCAGTTCGACATATTCACTTTACGGACAAACAAACTGGACCGGAAACAAAGATACAGCCCCTGCTCCACCCCAGCACCTGTTAAATCATAAATGTGACTTTTGTCAGCCCCTGCCCTCAGCCTCTCAAAGGCTTCTCGTCCTTCTAATAAGATCTGAAGTCCTTGTCCCGGCTCACAAGGCCAGATGTTGTGACATCTGGCACCCATTTCACGCCATCCTCCCCTCATCCGCCCCATGGCGGCCAACCGACCTGCCTGGTGTTTCTCAGACACGCCAACCAGGCGTTGTCCTCAGGGCCTCCGCCCGCCTCCGCCCTCCACCTGGGATCGCAAGGCAGGCTCCCTCACTGCACGGAAGTCTCTGCCCAAACGTCGCCTACTCAGAGAGGCTTCTCCTGCCACCCGGTGCCCTCCCTGGCCCCCTTGATTCTGGTCTGCGACTTATTTTCCTCTGAGCACTCAGTACTCTAAAAAGCATCATTATTATTTGTTTGTATGTATGCTGATTGTCTGTCTGCCCTACCGAGAGTCAGCTCCGGGGAGGAAAGGACTTTGTCCCATTCACTGCTGTGTCCCTGGCTCCTCGTGCACTATTCAATGAATGAAGGACTCAGCAAGTACTATGGCAAGTACCTATCACATGCCAGGCACTGGGGCTAGGGTTGTGAGCAAAACAGAGCTGGTGCTTGCCCTCTCAGAGCTTCTGGTTTTGTGGGAGACAGACACTAAGCAAGCAGCTTCACTAACAACCACGTAATCGCAGTGCATGGGAACAAGCATCTCCTCCTCACCACTGCCAAAACTGAACTCCTGACTTTCTCCCCAAACCTGTTCCTCCCACACCTTTCCTGTCTCAGAAAATGACAACTCCATTTGTCCAGCTGCTCAGAACAAAATCCTTGGCACCGTCTTCTGTCCCCACACTCCACAGCTAACTCACCAGTAAATCCTACCGGTTCAATCTCTAAAATCTACTCAGAATCGACCGCTTCTCTCTCCTCTATCAGCACCATAGGCTGGGCTGTGGCCACTCTGCCTGCCTGCGGAGAGATCTTCTGCCTGGCTCCCTGGCTCCACCCTTGCCCTTCCCCCAGCAGCCAGGCTGAGCCTTTGAACCTCAGATCACATCACGCCCCTACTCCGCTCAAAACCCTCCACGGAGTCACCATCTCACACATATATCCAGGCTCTTCCAAGGAACCTGCCTGACCCAGCCCCGCCTGCCGCGCACCCCTCACGCACAAACATCTGTTTGTCTCACGCCCTTGCTTCCTTCAGATCCTGCTCAGATGTCACCATATCAGAGAGGCCTCCTTCCACCCTTAACAAAGCAGCGACCCAGCCTTCCTCGTGCCCCTGGCCTGCTTTATTTTGCCCCTTATTATTTATCTCCAGCTGACAGATCCTATATTACGTTAGGACCTACCTGCCTCTACCCCCAGCTACAACGTAAGCTCCCTAAGGGCAGACTTCACGGCCTGTTTGCACTAATGCATCCCCAAGCCACCTGGAACCAGGCTTCATCCAGGAGATAATGCCAAAATGAACGTGGACAAAAAGGGTAAGGTGCTGTGGGAGTGCCTGGCAGGGAGCACCAGCGAAGACCTGGGTATCAGGGAAGGCTTCCCTGCGGAGGTGCCATGGAAGCTGAGCTAGAGCTAGCCAGGTGAAGAGGGAAAGAAAGGGCAGTTCAGGCAGGTAGAAGAACATGTGCAAAGGCCCTGATTCCAGAAGGAACTCAACTTATTTGCAGAACAAAAAAAAAAAAAAGCCAATGTAGCTGCAGCTTAAAGAGTAAGGAGCCTGCCCTGGCTGGTGTGGCTCAGTCAGTGGACTGAGTGCTGGCCTGTGAACCAAAGGGTTGCCGGTTCGATTCCTAGTCAGGGCACATGTCTGGGTTGCAGGCCAGATTCCTAGCAGGGGGCATGCAAGAGGCAACCACAGAGTAATGTTTCTCTCCCTCTCTTTCTCCCTCTCTTCCCCTCTGTCTAAAATTAAATAAAATCTTTAAAAAAAATTTTTTAAGAGTAAGGAGGTTAAGCCAGATCTTTCAAGACCCAAAATTCATGTGAAGGATTTCGGTTCTGTTCATTAGAACAGTGAGATAAAGGAGTGACATGACTTGGTTTGTTTTTAAAAGGCCACTCTGGCTGCTCTGTGACGAATGACTTAAATGGGTCAAAGCTGAAGCCAGGACCAGCTTGGGGCTACTCGGTTGTCTGGGGGAGGTGGGGGCGCAGTTTGGGTCATGGGAGACGGCAGTGGAAACAGAGAAATGGGCGTATCTGAGATTTACTTGGGGAGAGACACAGACTGGAGAAACGGGCTTTCCTTAATGCTGCCCTGCAGCACTCTTACCCAGACCGGCTGGGAGACGCCCTCCACGACCTTCCTGCAGAAGAAGCCTGGGTCAGCCTGGCGCTTCTCCTCTCCCCAGCGGATCATGTCCCTCCGATAGGCCTCCTTGTAGCTGCTGGCGTCCAGGAGTCTCTGGAAGTCCAATCCATGCTCCTGCCCAAAGCACATTATGTCTATGCCCCAGCCTCTCGACCTCAATGGCCTCTCCTAAAACAGAGGAGGGGCCATCCCTTCTTTCACCTGCCCTTCCCCAAGATGATGCAAGGGCCAACGGGGTGTCCACCAGGACAGAGGCCTGCAAGGGAATGGGCTCTGGGAACAAGGAATCCCAAACATGGACAGAAAAGAAGTCTTGGGATAATTTTTGCACTTTTTTTTAATGTGCAGTGTGGTTGTGTTTGTTTGTATATTTGTTTGTTTTTGCAACAGTTTTACCTTCCCAATTATGTCTGAGTTAAACTAATCCTGAAATTAAATAGTTTTCACCCCCTGAGCACGGGCTTGTCCTTCAGCTAAAGTTGGAAATAGGAAAACACTGCATTCCATATCCTCCCACTGCCCACTCGGCATGCTCGCTGGTCCCAAAGCCCGGAGACACGGCTTCCCTGACTCTCTCCTTTCCCTGTTACCTCCATCCTCACCTCCACCCCCTGGCACCACTGCTGAACCAGCAGCACTTTCCTTGGCTCCGGCTCTGGGAGCTCCCCGGGCCTGAAGAAGGCACTGCCCTGACCCCCTGCAGGAGCTGCTTCCAGACCAGCCTCCCTTTCTCTAGGGACACTGAGGAGCGGGAGGGGCCCATCCAGAGAGCCCAGGACAGGAAGGGTCTGAAAAACACCACTCAGTGCAGGTTCTAGCTCTCCACTAACTCTCAGCAACAAGGCCTCTAGCCTCAGACACTGTTTCTTTGGTGGCAAACTGAGGTGCCAAGACCTGGCCAGTCAATCGCTTCTACCTGCACCTCCAGCTCCCAGGTGATGCCAGAAGCCACCTCTTCTTGTAAACTCATTCAACTGCTCTTTATGGCAGGGGAAGAGTGGCCGCTAGGAGCAATATGGTCTCCTTGTCAGTTTTATTTCCCACTGTGATTTACATCAATGCACCAACGTTTAGTTTTGTTTGTGTGTTTAAATGGGAATGGGGTGGAGTAATGCTGGACCTCCAGACCAAGGGGCAGGCTGGCCTATCAGAGTCTCTCACTGAGTTTTCAAAAATGCAAACTCCCGTCCCTCCAACCCCACCCCACTCCCCAGTCTGACTTGAGCCAGGCATCATCTGAGAACTCAGGAAGCAGACTCTGGTTTCCAAACTCCGCCTCAGAGTCCTGGGGTGCTTCGGTGGTGCCTGGATCCCACTGTGGAAGACTGAGTGCCCCCCAGTCAGAGTCATTCCTAGTCTGTCTACTGAATATGAGGAACTCTGCATCCAAAGGTCCCCACTTAGAAAAAAAGAAAGAAAAAAGGGGGGGGTGAAAACTACTGACCCTGTCGTCCCCAGAATCCCCCAGGCTGCAGTTCTGTCATGGGGCCTGTTTAATTGGGGCAGAGGCCTCGGTGGCACAGGAGGATGCTTCCCGTGAGATACGGGAAAGGGGCAGATCCGTCTCGTGTGGCCCCAGAAGGCCAGACTGGGTCTCAGTGACCCAGGGGCCACGAGCACAGACGCCTGGAAGGGTGTACTGGGAAGTCAAGGACAAAAATGCAGGCCACCGTGGGGGCTTTTTCCTTGTGTGGGAGGCTCACCCTTCCCATTTTCTACGTCTAAGGTTCTAAGAGTTCCTGTTTGTTTTTTTAACCCTATGTTAACAATCCTGTTTATTTTTTATAAAACCCACGTGGCTCAAAATTAAAAAAATACAGTCACTTACAATGAAAAATCCCTTTCCCAGCCCTGTCCCCAGCCCATGGAGGCCACCAATGGTACAGCCTCTCATCTGCCCTCCCAGCGCTAGCACATCCAGAGCTCCAGAACAGTGTTTAACACGCTGCAGGCACCCCATAAATGTCTGTTGGATGGCTGAATACGCGGGCAGATATTCTTACATTTTTCCCCATTTTTGTACAACGTTCTCTCTATATACACTGTTCCAAATCTTATTTTTTTTTTCACTTAATAGTACATCTTGACAATTCTCGCAACTGAGTTGCTCTGGAGAGAGTCCCGGGCCAAGGCCGGCCAGCTGCAGCTATGACGGGCCACCGCACTCCACTTTCTGGGTAAGACTGAGTGTGCAGACCTTGCTAACACCACGGCACAAGGGCTGCCGGCTCGCCTCTGCAGCCGTCCCTTGATCGGCCTTCTTGCAAACGCCCTGAGGAGGTGGTCTGAAGTGAGTGAGGCCGAGGGGAACGAAGTTGAAGCTGAAAATACCCCCACGAAGTCCAACCATAGAAAGCCAAGAGCTGGCCACTACCCTGCCAACAGTGGTCACAGCCACCAAACGCAGGGAGCTGGCTCCTTCCGACCCACCAGGTGTCACAGAGAGCCACCACCTACCTGAGCATACTGTTCCTTGAGTGGGCCGGAGAGCCGGAGGATGGCACAGACGTGGGCTCCAAGCCTGTGGACCAGGAGAACCAAACCCCGTTAGCCTGGAGCTTCCCGACCGAGGGAGAGTCCAGAGGCCCGGGGTGGGGTCCCATTTCTGCTCCCGGGATCTTTCTAACTGTGTTAGGTCTCAATGCCCATGACCCTATTTTCTCATCTGTAAAATGGAGATACCAGTATCAATTGTCTCCCACAGGGTCATTAGGAAACGTAAATGAATGTGAAAGAGCCCTAAAACTAACAGGTAAAACAAATGAAATAACAATGACAATGTGGTATTCTGGCTAGACTGGGTTACTGTGGGACCCCTGAACTAGCTGTCTCTCAGTCTCAACTGACGTGGTCACTGCAACACCAGTTCACTCATTCAGCTCAGTTTGTTCGGCCAGCTGTGTATTGTACAGTGCTGTGTGCTCACACATTCATTCAAGCACTGACATAGCGACATAGGTGTTCTCATTTCCATGTTTCAGATGAGGAAACTGAGGTTGAGTGAGTGAGAACTGATTCACCCAAAGGAACGCTGCAAGTAATGAAGCCAGTGTTGTTAAAATGAAACTAATAGCTAACATTTAGTTCCCGCACCTTTATGAGGTGTCAAAAATTGTTCTAAGCCCTTCACATGCATTATTTCATTTAATCCTTACAGCCAACCTATTATTACCCTGGTCCCACAAATGACAAAACTGAGTCACAGAATGGGTAAGAAACTTATACAAGATCACAAACTAGTAAGCAGTGAGTCAGGATCTGAATCCCGGCAGTCTAATTCCAGAGCCTGTGCTTCTGACAACTATTTAACTTCTGCGTTTGCAGGTAAGGAGAAATGCAACTTAGGAACAGGTGGTGGATACTTGATGGGGAAAGATTCAGGCAGTGACCTCTTCCCTGGGCTCCCCCACGACCTCTTAAAACACTTGCAGTGCCCGATAGCAACCTCCGGGTGCCCCCACCACACTGGTCTTCAAGAGGAGGATGCCCGCCCTGCTGTCTCCCTGACCCCGCTGCTCCCCCAGCCCATGACTCCACAAAAATGCTCCCACACAGAACATTTTGCTTTGAGAGAAAGGTATTATTTGGGGGACAGTGAGATAGAGCAGAAAGAACCCATTCCTTGGAGCTAGTTTAAAGTTTAATTTGAGTCCTGGATCTGACGATGACTTCATGACCTGGCAAGTTTGGGTCGTGTTTTGTTTTGCTTTACTTTTCAGAGCCTCAGTCTTTTCATCTATGAAATGGGGATACTGACTAGCACTGCCACACAGTACCTAACAAAGAGGTTTGGAAGATTAACTGAGATAATACATACGCACAGTGCCTGGCACATAATAAAGCCTCAATAAACCCCAGTTATTAGGCGGTGTGCTGGGCAAGGATTTGTCTTTGGAGTATGACACAGTTGGGGTGTGGTCTTGAGGAAATCCTTTATCCATGACTCAGTTTCCTCATCTGTAACAGTTACCTGCAACATTGCTCTATGGATAAGAAAGGTGTGTAAAAAGTGACTTAGTAATACCTGTTATTAATGCTTATTGACAAGAGAGGCCTACAGTTTAGTCTTTGGAGAGGTGGCCACTTGGTAGTTTGAGGTGGGCGTATATCTCCCCCCAACAGCTCAGTGCTCCTCCCATCAGTAACCCGAGGACCCCTACTCCACAGCTCACTCCATCACACCCTAACACACCCCTCGTGTCACGTGATGCGGCATTTTCCCCTCCCCTTTTCCCTATCTTCCCCTCTTCCTCCCCGACACCTGCTCTGCAGCGCCTCGGTCACGAAGTCCTTCCCGGATTTCCTCTTCCCGCTGAACAGCAGCACCAGCCGAGGTCTTCCTCCTAGCGGGGCCATGGGGCCCCCACGCTTTGCGATCCTGAAGAGGACACTACTCCCAACCCTTAAATCGGGCCACCTGAGCGAAATAGATGCAGCCACTAGGAGGAGCGGCAACGGAAAGGGCTTCCGCACGCGTCTTCTCCACAGCTGTAAAGAGAGGACTACCAGCTCTCATACGGCTCCCGAACATTTTAATTAACATCCAAACTAATTAAATAGGGAAGCAAAGAAGGCTAATTCCCAGGGCGGCCTTCTCCCCTGCAGAAGCTCCCCTCCCAGCGCTCATTTAGAATAGTCCGGCCCCGCCCAAACCCTGACGTCACAGTCCCGCCTTCGCAGCTGACAGGCGGGGCGGGAACTGGGTGCGTCTGTTTGCCTCCTGCGGAAGTGGCGTCTTAAATGACGTGAGCGACATCAATAATGCAGGCTAAAAGGGGTCCTTGAGGCCGCCCCGGCTGATATTACCTAGTGTTTCCTGGGGTCCCGTTCTCAGCCCGAAGTTCAGGGGCAGATGTAAGTGGCCGTGATCTGTCCCCTCCCTGAATTCCCAGTTCCGCCCCTGCCCACTGCAGCGACGGACAGCCAGTCCCAGCCGAGTGGCTGGAATTGTCTTTAGCCAAGGCTCGCTCGCTGGTATTTCTCTGAGCTCGTCAAAATAGAGCCCGTAACCCGTTACCGCCTGCATTTGAGGAGCTATAAAGTCATGCAGTCGTGCAAAAAGAAAAAGTGAGGTGTGGAGGCCTGAGAGACCGTTAATTCCCTGAATACTGAAAACATGGCACAGAAGCTCAGGAAAGAGTGGTCAGTGGTCAGATGCAAGAAGGACTGGCTTCAGGAAGGTCTTGGTCTTTGTCTTTTTTAAGCAGCTGTGAAAGCACCACACTCATCAATGCACTTAGAAGGCATTGAGTGGAGTTTAACTCCAGGTTTGACACTTGGTAGGGACACCACCATCAGCAAGTCACACTGAGTTCATCATTGATAATGCCCACCTCACAGCGTTCTGTTAAGGGGATGCAGAAAATATGTTAAAATACTTGATAAATTCTCAGATATCACCCAAATGTGGAGTTGTGGTTTATTCTCAGCACTTTGTGACTTTAGAGTTTATAATCCAACCCAGGATCAGATTTTCCAGCTCACCTTCCAAATATTTATTTGGGACTCCACTGAAGCCGGAATCGCGCCCATGCCAGCAGAAAGCAACAGGACGACCTGCTCTCACACGCCTGCTTCCCTGAGGCTCCACGAGGAAGGGCTCAGAACTCCCCCTCAGAGTCTCTGTGCCTACGTGAGCAAAAGCACACCCTGCCCCTTCCTCTGCCCACTGGAATGGAGCCCCCGGGAATTCCCAGTCAGTGATCAGAAATACCCTAGCCTCTTCTCAGAAGTTTCGCTCTGCTCCCTGACTCAACTGAACCTCACTGTCCCCCACTGTCCTCTCAAGTGGAGGCTTTTCATTTTCCCAGCCCTCACAGTTCAGCACAGACTCTGTGTCTGGCTGGGGCCTCCCTCCCTCCCCATTTCAGCCTCCAGATCATTTTTCCCTGACCTCTTGGAAAATTCTGGCTCCTTTAAAGCTCATATACCACCTGGCTGACCCAGCCTTTCCCCCCTCCTCAGCATTGACAACCACCAATCCTGAGACTCACCCTCATGTACTGAGACTTGGTCACTGGCTCCTGGCCATTTCCACCCTGTCATCAGTGTCAGTGACCTCCCTACCTGCATGGTCAGCCCATCCAACACTCTGACCATTCAATGCCTTGGGCTCAGGTGACCAAAGGCTTTTTTGTCCTCTCCTTCTCAGATACTAGCTCCCATGGACACACCCAGGGCCTTGTCATCCCCAGAAGCCATTCGACCTGCAAGGCCACTTTCTCAAATACTGCACAGAGCAGTGGTTCCCTCCCAGGGCACCGCTGGCCCATAACACCTGCTCTCCTTCCTTCCACAGCCAAAGGGAACATCGAATGAGTGAAGATGTATGAGAAGCCTTTGTAAGCTGTACAGGGCTCACAAATGTGAGGTGCTGTTCTGGGGCAGACTGCTGGTCTGAAAGTTGGGGTGTTACTGAGGATGAGGCAGGAAAATAGAGAGCAGCAGGATTGTCTGATGGGAGTAGAAACAACCTGGGAAGGGGGTGGCCTGGGTGCTTGGGAACTGAGATCAGAAGCCAGAGGTGCCAGACACCCTGGCGTGATGGAAGGCCCAGAGACAATGCTTATAAAAGCCAGTGCTGGCTTCGGACAATGGAGAAGTGCGCCCAGAAGTGAGACAGACGATCACCCTAAGAATCACCTCTCATTGCGGGGACAGACCATTTAAAGAGAGGTTTGCCACTCCAACCCAGAGGACAGCCTGGAAGTCAAATCTAGACACTCACAGGGAGCCTGCTCACTGTGTTAACACAGCCAGGGGAGCCTGTGCCTGCAGGTGACCAGTTCCTGCAGCTCTGCAGAACCTGGAGTAGCTGGGCTTTGTCACTGCCCCTCCAGCCCTGCCAGGCAGAAGGAGGGGGGTCTCAAGGTCTGCCTTTCCAAGGCATGCCTGTCCCATAGTGGAACCAGATGTCATCCTGGCTCATAACACCACTGACTACCCTTGCTTCAACTCCATGCCTCTGGTTCCAATGTATCTTCCCACGGTCATCGTCCAGCTGAGCCAAGGGTGCCCTCCACCAATGTGAACCAGTCTCATGTGTTGGTGCCCATTGCTTCCGGGCCAATGGAGTCTGGCAGCTGAGGGACAGAGAGGGTGAGGGCTGTAAGGAAGTGGGACAACAGGGGAAGAGAAGAAGAGAAGAAGGGTAATCTGAGTCATTGGGGAGCTAATGGGAAGGAATCCTATTCATTCTTGCACCCGTGCAACATGCATCCAAATGTCCAAAATGTGCCAGGTACTGCTAGAAACACAACGGTAAACAAAACAGAGCCTGCTCTTAGAGAAAGAGATCTTACAGGCAAGAAGGGGCTGGAAAGAAGTATTCCAAGTCATGAAAGGCAAGGACCTACATCCCAGATTGCTCTATCCAGCAAAACTTTCATTTAGAATGGAAGGGCAGATAAAGTGCTTCCCAGATAAGGTCAAGTTAAAAGAGCTCATCATCACCAAGCCCTTATTATATGAAATGTTAAAAGGACTTATCTAAGAAAAAGAAGATAAAAAACGTGTATAGTAAAAATGACAGCAAACTCACAATTATTAACAACCACACTTAAAACAAAAACAAACTAAGCAAACAGGTAGAACAGGAACAGAATCACAGAAATGGAGATCACATGGAGGGTTATGGGAGGGGGAGTGGGAGGAGGAGAGAGGGGGAAAAGGTACAGAGAATAAGTAGCATAGATGGTAGGTAGAAAATAGACAGTAGGAGGGTAAGAATAGTATGGGAAATGTAGAAGCCAAATAACTTATGACACATGGACATGAACTAAAGGCGGGGGATATGGGTGGGAGGCGGTGTGCAGGGTGGAGGGGAGTGAAGGGGGGGAATGGGACAACTGTAATAACATAATCAATAAAATATTTTTTTAAAAACAAAGATTCATGATTTAGAGTAATTTTTGTTTTCCTATTAGATTATTTTGTAGTGAATGTAAATCTTGGAGCTGGAGAACTAACCCCACTTCAAATACTATTAAAGAATGATTTATTGATTTTATTTTACTGTGGTTTTTTTTATCCTCACCCAAGGACATGCTTATTGATCTTAGAGAGATGGAACGGGGAGGAAAGACAGAGGGAGAGAAACATCAGCTGGTTGCCTCTCACATGTGCCCCAACTGCGGACTGGGGATCAAACCCACAACCTAGGCTGTGCCCTGACCAGGAATCAAACCCATAATCTTTTGGTTTACAGGATGATGTTCCAACCAACTGAGCCACACCAGCCAGGGCTCATTTTACTGTTTGTTTTTGTTTTTAACAATCTTAGTGATAAAGGTTGATGTTTATTTTTGAAAGGAAATTGGGAGACTTGCCTCACAGTCAGAAGCTGTAAGTTGAGAAGCCAGATTGTGCGTCTCCAAAGCTCAGAGTTTCTGCAGGCAGGATGGCCTCCCGGACCTGCAGGCCCTGCCTGGCCGCGGGACGGTCACTCCTTCCCCACGGGCCTCTTGGCAACACTGGACTCAACACTACTGGAAAGCCTGTGAAGAGGTCCCTGCCCAGGGCCAGGCTCACGGTGAGTGCTTTATCAATGACAGATAAATGAATGAGCGAAGGAGTGGGGACTCCAAAGAGAGCTGAGAGGCCAGGACTTCACTCCTGAGGCTAAAAGGGCCCTTCGTGTAATCCTCAAAGCTGAGGCCCCATAATGCCAGACCCAGCTGCTCAGTTTCTTGGGGCAGCAGCTGGAAACCCCTCTTTCATTCCCATCCCAGACCTTGGCAGGTCCGCTTTCCTGTCTCTCTTGCTACTGCCCCCCTGTGGCCATTGCCAGACGTCTCTGGAAAAGGAGCCATGAGTGAGTCACCCATCCTTCAGGGGCAACAAGAAAAGGAAACTTGTGTAGCAAGCAGCTCCTGCGGACCTCACCTGGGAGCCTGAATGCCCAGTGTGAGGAGCCGGAGAGAGGGAGAAGGGGAGAGGGGAGGAGGAGGAACAGGGACTCTCAGTCAGGGGTCCACAGCCATGGGCCTCGGTCTCCACTCTGTCCCTAGCTTTGTGACCTTGGACAAGTCGCTTCCCTCTCTGGGCCTCAGTTTCCACCTCTGAACAACAGAAGTGGGTGTAATGCTCATGCTGCCCTTCTACAGCCGGCCTTCTCATACCCACAAACTGGTACCCCTAAGGTGGCAGCTGGTGGCCAGAGAGGAACGGCCTCCAGGGCCAGGTACTCGGGTCACTGACGTGGGGTACACACAGGCCCGGGGAGGAGGGGTCAGCTAGAGACACACAGGTGAGAGCTTAGATGTTGCTTCCAAACTCCGGGTCCGCTGACGGGGAAGGAAGGGGGCGAACTGCAGTGCCCGATATTCGAAATGCCCACCGAGGTCCTAAGGGCTGCCTGGGGACCCGTCTTCCTACTCTGCCACTGGCCAGCTCTGATGGACCTTAAGCAAGTCACCTCATCTATCTCAGTTCCTTCATGTCCGAAATAGAGATAGTTATGGCCATACCTTCTTGGGGACCTACTTCCCAGGGAGAGAGAAGGGTTAGAATTGCCCTGAAAGATCTGAGGCCTGAGTAGATGAGTGAGTGGCCTGTTTCTCTGCGGGCCTCACGCCTTGGTTTCTATTCTGGTCCCTCCCCAGCCAGCTGTGTGGGCGAGGGCCCAAGGCCGAATGCCGGATGAGCGGGTCTGTCTGGCCCGTGGGTAGTTGACCTGCCATGGGGGGCTTGCAACATTTTCCTCTCCACCGCTCTCGGGTTTCTGCCTCTCCGGCCACAGTCCCGTGACCTGTCCCTTTGACTTTGGACAGGGTCACTGCCCTCTGCTGGGTGCCTCCCCTCAGGCTTAGTCAAGGGAAGTATCGGAAGCTGGTAAGAATGGCTCTAAAGGGCCCCACCCTGGAGAGGAATTGGGGGCGTGATGAGACATGCGGCCACTCCGTGGAGCCCAGAGGTGATGGGCTGGGAGACTGGCTCTATCCTATCCCTTATCCCATACGTCAAGCCCAGCAGCTTCCCCCCACCTACCGTGTGTCTGCACCAGCAGTTCGGCCTTTCCCCCTCTCCCAGCATTGCAGGAGGATGTAGTCATCCCCGGTCCTGAGGCCGGGAGCTGAGTGTGTCCTGGACTCCTCCCTCTCCTCCCCGCCCTTGAGCCAGCCCAGGCCAGTCCATTCTGATTCACTGATTGAAATCAGGCCCCTGTCATCCCCACCCTGGGCCCTTGGTGGACACCTCCTTAACGACCTCCAGGTTCGCATTTCTCCATTCTGCCCCTCCGACCACCGGCTACAGCGCACCCACGTGTGTCTCAAACGCCTTCAGTGTCAGTGGCACTCCCCCCACTTCCTACGGGAATGCTCCCCCTTAGACCTGCAGGAGAGTCCTGCGGGGGGGATTTGCTCCCTTGGGAATGTGAACTTAACCCTCTTGCCACACCTTTGCCCAGGCTGAAATCTCCTTCTCCAACACAAATCCTATTACCTTTTAAGATCCAACTCAAAGGTCATCACCTCCTTCCTCTTCAGCTCCTCGGCTGACGCCTCCCTGACACTGTGGGGAAAGTACTGTGAAAATTCTGCTTCGTGTTAGACTCACCCACTCAGCCTCAGGGACAAGACTGGGGTCTAGCCCTGACTGGCATGGCTCAGTGGGGTGAGCATTGTCCCACAAACTGAAAGGTCACTGATTCCATTCTGAGTCAGGGCACATGCCTGGGCTGTGGGCCGGGTCCCCAGATGGGGGTCGAAAAACAACTAGTCAATGTTTCTCTCACACATCAATGTTTCTCTCCCTCTCTTCTCCTCTCTCCAAAATAAGTATTTCTTAAAAAAAGAACTGGGGTCCCCACGGCACTTTGTGTCGGGACTTGAATGCTCGTATCTTTTCCCTGCCAGCTGCTGCCGCGGGTTTGAGAGCCAATGCCCTCTGCTCCCATAGTAGTTCGCAGAGGCCCCGGCTCCCCCCTGAGAGCTTAATTAAACATAACTACTATCTTTAACAGTACTCTACAGTCTGAAAAACCTTTTCATTTATTTGCTAGTGACTTACTTTATCCTCACAACGACCTTCAAAGGGCTGCCATTTCCACTGTAATGCTGGGAATGCGAGGAGGGACACCTTGCCCAAGGCTCTAGGTAGGCCCCCAAGTGGGGGGGGGCCAAGACTGGGCTTTCTGATCTCAAAGCCTGCCCAGGCTGGAGGTCTAGTTAGAAGTGAGCTGGGCCGGGCCTCCCTCTGGCCCGGAGTGATTAACAGGTGATTGGGAAAAGGGCCCGTTTTTACCCTAATGGGCAGGACCTATTCTGGAAGCCAAGGATTGCCAAGGAGATGGGCAGCACCCTTAGGGGAGAGCCCACCAGGGGAGGGGGAGGGAACTCAGACAACGCAACAGGAACTGGGGACGAGGGGCTTCTGCAGCTCAGAAGGCTGAGTGGTGAAATGGGGCGAGGGGCCTGCTGGGCTCTGGCAACAGCGCCCCACCCTGCCCCGCAGAGTCCCTGCCAGACCTCTGCGAGCATGTGAAGTGTGAAGGGACTGGGGACGTCTGTGTCCCAGAACAAGGCCGAAAGAGATGTCCCCGCATCAGGGCGGCCCTGGAAGGTTCCCATGGCAACAGCTAGCCAGTCCAGCGTCTGTCTTTGGGCCCAGTTGGGGTGGGAGAGCAAGGGGGTACCAAGGAGCAGTTGTCACGAGGAACAGGTGCCTCTGACCCTCAAGGGGATTATGGGAGTGGTACGGGCTTGAAGGAGACCCACCACCAAATTTCAGCCACCTCCCCACCCTTCACCTTGGGGCGGGTGGGAATGGGAGCGGTGGGCAAAGCCTGGGTCCTGGAGGACCGAGGAGGCTGACAGAGACGGAGAGCCTGGAGAAGTTAAGGGCTGGAGGGAGGGCATGGTGAGAGAAAGCTGAGCTGAGGGTTATGGGTAAGGGCAGCTCAAGGAAAGGAGGTTCAGCTAAAGGATGAGGGGGGAAGAGACGGCAGATTGGGGGATGGCGGGGAAGTAAGGGCTGGGAACTGGCCAAAGGAAGCAGAACTTTTCCATTTAAGAGGGAAGGCACAAGAGGGCCACTCCCTACTCCCGTGATTCCCCTGAGGCACCCACAGCTGAGCTCTGAGCTGGGGAATTCCCAGAGCAAAGAGCAGAAAACCCTGGGCTCAAAGTACCGAGTTCTTACACTGCAAGGGCCCAGGCAGGCCCTGAGAGGCCAAGCAGGCCTACCCACAGACTTCCTGTTCCCCGGCCCGGGCGTGAGCTGTCCTCCAGCTCTGTGGGAAAGGAGGGGAGCGGTCGCCCAGTCCCAGCCTCCCCTGGCTCATGTCCACACACGGGCCCTGAATAGGGAGCACATCCTCTGGTCTGGGACCTGGGGCCCCTGTCTTGGCCAGTGCTAACGTGGGTGCATGGATGTGACGGAGAGAGGGGCCAAATGACCTATGATGGGCACAAGGATTACCTGCCAGGGCACCCCGGAGAGAGGGTCAGCAGAGTGGCCCACGTCCCCACTGTCCTGGCCCTCCCCAATACACCCCTTGGGTTCCTAGCTCTTTTTCCCCCTGACCTGATTCAGCAGTTTGAGAAACCTGCAGCTCAGCACAGCTACTTCCTGAGTGGGAAAGGAAGAGGGGGTGCTCGGGGGAACTTCCTAGCCTGAGAGTCCGTTATGCAAACGAAGGAAACGGTGAGAAATGGAACTGAGAAGCCCTGAGTGGCCAGAGTGAGAGTCAACAAACTCCCTCTGGGAACAGGGAGGCCAGGCTGTGGCCCCTCCCCTAAGCCCAGGCCGCTTTTCCCAGACACAGAACCCCGCCTGCCTTCCAGTCTGAATCCCTCTCCCGGACACCAGAGTTTACCACCAGCATACGTTCTGAGCAACAGGAACGGCATAAGCTGGCTTCCTCAGGAGGAACCACAGTCCACGGAACTGGGATGCCAGCCCCAGGCTCTGGCCCTCCACCGACTTGTACGTGCTCCTCCCAGCCCCTTCTCCAGAAACAGCACAGTCCTCTCCTACAGCACCCCCAACCCCTGGCACCGCCTCTCTGCCTATGAGGACATTCTTCATCAGGTCTCGCTGCTCTGTCTTACTGTAGAAAGCGAGTACACAGCAGGCTGTATAAATGTTTGCTGAATGTGTGGTCCTTGTTGCATCTCCAGCCAGCCCTGCCTCCACCCCACACCTCCCCGCAGCTGAATTAAATGAGCTGATACACTCGCAGCCCTTGAACAGAGAGGGGCACACTGTGAAGTCACATAGTGTTACATAAGCACTTGCTACCCACCGTGGCCCCTTCTGGATGGAGCCTGCAGGCCCCCTCCCCTGTATTAGTAACACTTCTGACCTAGCCTGCCGTCACCCCGCATCCCGCCCCCTAGGGGATTCCCCGGGTATCAAGAAGCTCCTCAGGATGGACTTCCTAAAGCATAGCCTAACAGAGACTGGGTCTTCTTGGAAAAGCTCACCCGTGAACAGGTTGGGGTCAGTGGGGTGGGGTCCGAGATTTGGGGCACTAAGTAGTGGGGGGGGCGGGCCAAGGTCTGGAGCAAATGTGGGGCCAGGGCGCCACCTAGTGGCTCCCTCACCTCCCCAACCCAGAAGCCTCATGATGGGAGGCGGTAGGAAGGGTTCTCCCCTCCCTCAAGGGTGAAATAACTTTTCAGTGCCAAAGTCTGGACAACATTTTGCTTATATTGCTTTATTTAATGTCTCCCCAAGCCCTTCAATCCCCTTTTATGAGGATAAGAAACACAAGGTTCCTGGAAATTAACTTGCCCAAGATTACTCAGCCTGGATTTGAGCCCAGGGCTCGGATGCCAAAACCCACGTTCGTTTTCTACATCTTGCAAGGGTGCAGGCAAGTCCGCTGTAAGCGAATGGGGTGCTCCAGCCCCTGTAAGCAGACGAGGTGTTCCAGCCCAGAGGGCCTGAACTGTCGGGAGGGTGCAGAGAGGGGAAATGGGTGTATGGGAGGAGGGAAGTACCAGTGCCTACAAGGTGGTGGAAGAGTGTCTCCCTGCCCTTGGAAACCACCCCAGGTGACAGACCCGGCCAATTCACAGCTCCAAAAGCTCTCGACTGGGGTCTGAGTTCACAGTTCCAACGGGGAGGTGAGGCCAAGTGAGAAGCCAGTGTAAGAAGGGGACTTCACCCCCTGGGGAGAGCTGCTTCCAACTGTAATAAAGCCCCAAGGGAAGCCCTGATTCTGGGCCTCCAGCCAGCAGCTCCCGAGCCCCAGAGGGCACGGGGTCAGGGGGTGGGGACCGGGGCCCACTCTGGGGCAGCACACACAAGAGGTGGGAAGGTCTTTGGTTTCAGAATCAGAACGCCACCCCCCACCCCAGCCCATTCCATCTCCCCATAAAACAAGCTTCTCCCCCATCCCCTTTCACATTCGGCATGACCTAATTGGACTGCCAAGGGGCCCAGCCCAGGGCCCTGGACACGCGTGTACATTTCCGCAGACAGCAAGGCAGGCCCAGCTACGGCCTTTTTCTAGAGAAAGTGGCATCAGTGCAGGGCTGGGTGATTTCACTCTCCTCTGTGAAGGACATTCAAGGACACCAACCAAGCCAGGAGAAATGGCAGTTTTTAGCAGTCCCCAGGGGTCGGAGAACAACAGGCCTCAGCCCTTGCGGTGGTGGCTGCGCTCCTCCCTGGGCCCAACGACTCTGGGGCTCCGCCAGTGTTTGTCTTTCTTCCCGGACCTATGGGGAGGGGGGCGGGAAGAGGCCTTTAGAGAATAATGCCACGTGCTAAAGAAGGGTTCCCTGAGGAGAAGGGAGCCCTGTTTCACTTAAGGAGACCAATCACATTGAGGGCCAGACCTAGTCTCCCAGAATGAAGGCCCCCGCTGGGGAGGCAGGAAGGTAGAAGCAATCTCCCTTACGCCCTGGGCCAAGCAGATGTAGGCAGGTCAGGACAACTGGGGAGGAAAAATCCCCCGGCCCAAAGGGGACACCTTTTGGGGGAGCATGGGCAGCCTCCTGCCCTCAAAGACAGGAATGTATCTGGCTTACGAGAAGCCGGAAGGGACTAACAATGGAGACAAGGACCCATATGGAAGGCCCTGGACTCAGGACCCTTGCTCCTTCACACACAGCCCCCACCTCTCCCCTTCTCCTCTGTCCCACCAGACCCAGCGCCCCCACAGCTGCCCACCTCTTCTTCAGTGCTTTGTCTCCAAAGAAGTGGCTGAAGATGAAGTCCTCAAAATCATCCACCTCATCGTCATCACCTGTCTGTCTCGCCGCCACCTCCTCTAGGCTGTCCTCCAAGGCATCCACAAAGTCCCGAAAGCGGAGGCGGTCGTGGCGGAAGATGCCATCCTCACCAAAGTAAGCTGGCGAGAGGGGTAGCTCCTCGGTCAGTTGCCTGGCCCAGGGCAGCCGCGCCAGGTATGTCCTCAGCAGAGAGGCCATCTCCTGCTGCCGCACTGGGGCTAGCTCAATGCCAAACAAGGCCAGACCCTCCTGTCGGGCACACTCGTGCACGCCGGAGCAGCCCTGGGGTGCCCGGTACTTGTGCCTCAATAGCTCCGCCCACAATGGCTGGGGGTCACGTCTGTCTTTAGCCCCTTCCTTCCGCTGAGGGTGCTTCTGCTTTTCTCCAGAGGAGTGGAGGTTCCCACTTTTCCTGGGGGGCTCCTTGGGACTCTGTTGCTTACCATCCTTCTTGCCCGACTCCTCTGCCCTTGGCTTGCCCTCCTTCCATCTCCCTGCCAGCTGCACGTCCTCCTCACCCCTCCAGCTCTTCTTCCTTTCCCAGCCAGATTCCTCCTTTTTATGCTTCCAGTGCCCAGCCTTCCGGTCCTGCTGCCCGTCCCGCCACTTTTCCTTTCCACTCCCCTCTCTGGAACCCTGGAAGCGTGGCTCCTGATGCCAGGTTTCTGAGGTATTGGCAGGGACCCCAGTGTCCTGGCCCCAGTTCCCCAGGCCCTGCAGCTTCTGGGCCAGCCTGTGGCCCAGCTCAGCAAGGCCAGGGTGAGCTGGGTCCCCCTGGCCTGCATCCCTCAAGCTCCGCTCCAGGTCCTGCTGCACAGACCCCAGGAGCCGCCGCTGCCTCTCCAACTCTTGCCTTAATGCCTGGGCCTCAGCCTCCAGCTGTTCTTTCTGCTCTAGGAAGCCAGTGTCCCGCCCCCAAGGGCCTTGCTCCTTGGAGACCTTGCCACCTTGTGGGCCTCTGCCCCAGCTGAGGCACACCCCATCGGTCCCCCGGACGCAGTCAGCCTCTAGCCCCTGCAGGCGGGCCCGCAGCTGCTGCAGCTCTGACTCCAGGGCCCTCTGGAAGGCCTTGCCCTGCTGCAGGGCCCCTCGGAGCTGGGCATTTTCCTCTTCTAGCCCTTTGGGCTGGTGCATCAGGCTCCGAAGCTCTTCCTTCTGGGCCTGGAATGGTGTGGAGATGGAGGGTACCACAGGAGGGTATTTTCAGGATGAGTCCAGTGCCTTCTACCCCAATTCTATTCCAGTATAGTGGGCAGGTGGCCCAAGGCCCTTTTATGGCCTGCGACACTCGGAGGATTTGGTTCTAGCCTCCCTCCACCATCCGCAATATGCACCAGATCCTGGGGTCCCCAAATTCAATTACAGGCCCCAGCTTCTATGTCCGTATATAAGCACACACTTCGATTCACCTAAGGATAGCCAACATGTGGCTCTCATTACCTAATTTCCACCTCCTATGCCCAGAACAGACATTACTGATCGATCACAGTCCTTCTTTCCCATTGAGCCTTGGCATGTTCTTCAAATCCTCCACCCAATGCTCTAAGCAGACCATACCAATCAATCAGAGGTGGCATGCCACATGAAACAGGTATGCCAGCCCTGGCCTAATCTTTAGCATGAGAAATATGAGCAGAGAACTAGGAAGATGACCTCACTAGAGTGGAAAATGGACAGGGTTAAGGTATATGGGTAAACAGGGGAAATTTCTTTTTGAGGGAGGACAGGGGGACAGACACTTGACCTAATGAGGGCTGGCCTACCCTACTGCTTCCTGCTTTCGCCTACCTGAAGCTGGGCCTGCAGCAGGCGGATATCCTGGTTCTCCTTGGCCAGCTTGTCCAGCAGAAGGGCCATGTTCTGCAGGCTGGGGACACTGTCCGGGAGCACTGAGGCCTGCAGCTGCTGCTCCAGCCCATCCTGAGGGCAAAGGAGCCAATTACCCTACCCTGACCCACAGCCCAGGCAGCCCTGAACAGAACACCCCCAGCCAGGCCGGCACACTGAGGGCCACCTTCACACAAACCTGCCCCTCCCCCACAGCATCTGGCGTCTCGGAGTCCACTGGGGCATCTGGAAAGACCTGAAGCTCCACTTCCTCTGCAGGCCCTGTGGGAGAGTGCAGTCCTGAGACTGGCCCCCGGACACCCAGAACCCGCTCCTCCCACTCACGCACAGGGTCACTGTCCTGCCCTGGACCCACCCCTGATGGAGAAGTCCAGCCAGCTGAAGAGCCAAGGGTTGCTCTGAACAGCTGACAAGGCACGACTGAGCAATAAACGTACAGCCCCCAGCATCCCTACTTCTGACCCAAACTGCTGCCCCCATCGGCCTCCCTCAGCTGGGAGGGGACAGACACCAACAAGCCAGGGCCCTCCCCACTCACCGCTCTCCCACTCTGAGAGGCCACCTGAGGACGGAGACAGAGCAGCCCGGTGAGACCTCAGAGGAGGGTGTGGGGTGAGGCTAAAGGCAGGGGGACAGGAAGGGCCAGGCTAGAGGCTCAGGGCCCCAGGAGGGGAGGCGCCACTCACCAGAGAAGAGGAGGACCCCTAGGCCCAGCAGAACCAGGGCCCCGAGGAGGCACATGTTGAGGGAGAGGCCCAGCTCCCCGCTTATGCCCTGGCCTCTGGCCTCGTCCCCCACACCCAGGGGCAGCGGAGGCTGAGGAGCGCTGGGCTCCCGGCCCCGCCGTCTCCGCAGACCCTCCACGTCCACGTCGGTGTCATCCTCGCTGCTGGTGCAGTGGGCCTCCTCCCCGATCCACGCTGGAGGAAGAGTGGGGACAAGGCAGTGAGGCAACTGCAGAGGTGGGACACGGGAAGAGGGGAATGGGGGGAGGCACAGGGAGGCCCCCAGCCCTGATCACAGAGAGGGGCCTGTCTGCACGAGCGTCAGTGACCGCCCCTGCCCAGTCTGGAGATGGGAGACTGGTCCTTTCGGTCTGCAAACTACAAGGGCAGCTTCATCCTAAAAGCACCCTCCTTCCTCCCATCACCTCCTACAGGATGCCTCTCATCGAGCTCCTATAGCGACCACCATCCTCCCAGGTCAGTCCTGACTCTGGCCACTCCTGTGCAGTCCCTCTCTGGCTCCACCTGGTCCTAAAGGTGGTGGTCTCCTGACACCACTTCTGTTCTCTGCTCTTCTCACTGTACACACCGTCTCTGCCCCACCGCCGACAGCCCCCTGGAGCAGAGGAATCTGTCCTGCCTGACCTGGCTTCCCTAGAGGTCCGGGTCCAGACGTCTACCTGCCCACCGGTCACGCCTACCTGGATACCCCATGGGGACCAAACACTCAACACACTGCCCTCCAAACAGGTTCTCTCCTGGTGTCGCCCCAGTTCGGGGAAAGGCACACTGTAACCATCTAGCCAACCAAAGCCTTCACGTCACATTCAGACAGTTCGACACCTGAACATCTTGACATTGCATGCCTTGTGTGTGCCATAGTTCCGGTCTCCATCGGCTTTGCCTGACCACTGCAGTGGCCCCCTAAATGGCCCGAGGCCCTGGCCTCTCTCTCCACCCTGTCACCTCCAACACAGATGAGTTCATACGCTCCTCTGCCGCAAACCTCGGATGCAGCCTCCTCAGCACAGGATAAGCGGCCCCCAGCCCTTGGCTGACACTGCAGCCTGGGCCCGGCTGTCCTCTTCCTCCTGCCCTGCCTACCAAAAAGTCTGCTCTTTGCTCCAGGCTCCACCCAAACATCACCTCCACGGTCAACCTTCCCCAACCACCCCTGCCTCCTTTCCCCTCAACCTCCCTCAACCTGTCCCCTGACTGAGCCACCCTCCCCCTCCTGTGGGAGCAGCTTAATTATATGTCCCTTTGCCTAGGCCACGAACCATCCGCTCCCCCTCCTCCCGCACGCAAAGAGCTAATTCGTGGTAAGGACTCAGGGGAGGATAGTTGAATCTAGAGGCAAGAAAAGAGGAGGCCCCAAGGCAAAGAGAAAAGAGCCAGTTGGACCTGGGCACTGCCACTTTTCATCTGTGTGACCTCGGTCAAGTCACCTAACCTCTTTGAGCCTCAGGGGGAGGGGGTGAGGACTCCCCAGTAAAATTTAAGGAAGCACCAAGCTACTAAGTCCTGGCGCCTGGCCCAGGGCTATGCTCAGCAGGGATGGTTGGCTCCCGCAAACATACCTTCTAGAAGAACAGTGCCAGAGGGGAACGAGGAGGACTCTCACCGGCTTTGGGGGATGAGGGCAGACTCTGTTCCAAGCTCTGATCCTCCAGGTCCTGTGTCTCCCGTCCCAGTTCTGCCACCGCTGGGGTCTCCTCCAAGTCTCCCTGGGCCACTGTGTCTCCTGAGCCAGGGCACTCCACACCATGACCGTCACCTTCCAGCGTGCCCTGATTTAGACACAGCTGTGAGCAGCTCCCCACCCTCCCCACTTCCTTCCCTGTCCTCAGCGAAGGTCCTCACCTTGGCCTTGGTCTCCTCTGGCAGAATGGGACCAGACTGGGAGCTCTCGCTCTGGCAGAGGGTCTCTGTAGTGAAAGAAAAGGCCCAGGGAAAACACCACAGCCCCCCAGCTATACTTCCTACACAGCCCTCTCGCTCCTGCAGGCCTCAACTGGTTGGAAGAGGCAGGAAAAAGCCAGGATGGAATGAGGGGAGAATATCTTAAACTGAGATTAATGTGGGAAATGAGACTAACCAGCTTCCCTTCCCTGATGAAGCTGGAACCCTAGAACACAGAAGAGAGATGGTTGCACCCCACCTTCAGCAAGGGCCTTTTACCTTCTCCATCCAAGGTCCCAGCTAGTTCTTCACCATCTGCCTTGGAGGAGCTCCAAGGGGTCTGGGGAGCTCTCTGAGGTTCTAGGTCCACCCCGGACTCGGGGCCCAGGGTCTCCACAGGCAGGCTCTGGGGGAAGGGGAACAAGCAGGAGGTGCTCCAGAGGAAGGACAACAGGACAAACCAGAGTCCCTAGGCCCAGCTGTGCTGCTCAGGGACCCCAACCCACATGTCACAGAAACTCAGCACACCGAGTAGTGAGCTGATCCAAAGTGAGGCGGAGTGAGGGGTCCGCCGGCACTGCGCGTCGCAGCTCCATTGTGTCTGGCCCTTCCTACCTTCACCTGCTTCACCTGCTGTTGAGGAACCGTCAGAGGCTCAGTTCTGCTTAACAAAGAAGCACCACTGGACCGAGGCACTGGACACCAAACGAACCTGCCCCCCACCCAGAAGCTGGGTGCACAGAGCCTGGGTCTCCCTCCCCTCCAAGATCGTCAGCACTTCCCTCCCTGTTACTGGCTGCAAGGTGGGAGGATAGCAAGAGAACCAAGTCCCCTGGGTGCCTAAGGGTCACAGTCAGGTCCTCCACGGGCTTCCCTGCAATTGCCCTCAAACAGCTGGCACGCCCACTTCACTTACATCTTCTAAGCTTTTCTGGCTTTTCCCACTCCCCCCTTACAGCCCTCTCCCAGTCGCTGCTTACAGAAGCCTGGCCCTCCGCATCCGCCCTCGCCTCGCCTATCTGCTGTGGTGCTGCGAGCCTGGCTGTCCAGCTCGGCCTCTTCTCTCCATGTGCATTCCTTCTCAGCAGGCCCATCGCCTGCTTACCCTGTCCATAGCTCCCACCACCCCTCCAAGAATAATTCCTGACCTTAGAATGTTTCTTTGCAATTTTGGAATCACTTTTTTCTCATGGCCACCTCTACAAGGCAAGAATCACAACCCACCCTTTTCACAGGGGAAGACAGCAAGACACAATGCATAGCCGTCCACAAAGGCACCCCAGGGCTCTGAGAGCAGAGTGTCCACCCTGTCCTACTGGCGAGCCCCAGACTGTGTCCTGCTACAGCGTCACCCCTGAGGTCAGCTTCTTCCCCACACAGCTGGGTTCCTCCAGGGCACTCAAACTCCACGGCCTAACTCCAGCTCCTCGCCTTCGCTCCTGGCAGTTCTAACGCACCAAGCCACTGGGGCTTGGATCCCTTTACAAACTTTCCCCAGCCCCTCAGTCCTCCATCCCACCAGCCCCTCCACCCTTCTCAGTGGCTTCAGGAGCACAAGAATCCACTGGGTCTGAGCCCCACCAACTACTGCCTGGACTACAGGATTTTTAAAACACCCTCCGCCTGTGCCCCAAAGCTGCAGAGGCTCCGTCCTCTGCCAGGGCAATGAGTGTCCTGACTCCTTCAGAAGTGGGCCCTCAGCGGTTTCCCAGCAGGATGAGCCCTGAATGCCTGAGCCAGGCCCATCAGAGGTTGTCTCCCAGAGGGCCCAGGCTCGGCCCTGGCCTCACTCCAACACTCTGACCCCTGCTGCAGCCTCACCCAAGGGGCCTCCTCATCGTCTCTGCAGAATGGCTTTCCTGCTGTGCCTCATACCCTCTGCTCAGGCCGGTCTCCCTACCGGAATTTCTTTCTGACTTCCCACAGCTCACAACAACAGTTGGTTCCCTACTTTCCAAGCACAGTCAAGTCCCAGCACTTGACTCGTGAGGCCTGATTTCCTTCCCCTGACACTAGAGTCCCTTTCACAGGTGGCAGGAGGTGAGGCAGATGACCATCAGGACCAAGGAAGGGACAGACCCAGAAAGCAGCCCAGCCCTGCAGGAGTCCCCCTCCAGGAGGTTCCCAGGCCTGCTTTTCCTACCTCTGAGCCAGCAAGCATCCAGGTGTTGTCCGAATCTGGGCAGGAGGCCATAGTTGCCGAGGTCCTTGAGGCTGCTGGGGCTGCCACCTGCAGAGAAGAGCTTCAGCAGCCCTGCTCCCTTCAGGAGAAGCAGGATGCAGGGAGCAGCCCGGGCTGGGTTCCGAGGCTTAAGGGCTGCGGAGCAGCTTCCAGACCAGCCTGGTTCAGTCCTCCTGACCCTAACACTGCATCTCTGCTGGGCAGTATTTGTCTTGCAAATCAGAACCTGTGGGCAGCCAGGGAAGCTTGCCTGTCCCAAGGACCAACAGGGCTTTGGGAAACTGAACTGACCTTGAAAGGTCAAGTCGAATCAGAGGGCTGGAAAGGCTTTGGGGAATAACCAAGCCAACTGTCTCATGCTGTGGCCAGGGCACACGGAGGCCATAAAGTGGCTGAGCTGACTTACGAAGACGAATGGCAAAAAAGAGTGAGGAAAACAACCCAGCCCTCCCTTCACCCAGGCAGGCTCCCCCCAAGTCATTGCCTCCTCCCCAAGACTAGGAAGAGAAGACTCCACTGCCTCCTTCAGCCCTAAGTCTCCTATTCACCCACCCACCATAAGTCCTTCATACAGTCTAGTTCAGGGGCCCTCTCAACACTGGGTGCACACTTTTCAGTCTCAGGGCACCTGAGACTCTGATTCGATTGTGATCAGGGGCAGGTGCAGGCAAGGATCTTTTTGAAAACCTCCCAGGCGGTTCTCACCTGCAGCCAGGGGTGGGAGGCTGAACATGCCTTTAGTCGCTCTTCTGTTACCCTCGCTCTCCAGTTCAAATTCTGTGCCCTTCTGAGTAACCCCCGAGTTTCATCTAAGGGAACTTAAAGCTGATTGGGGAAAGGGCTTTATGACAACTGTCATGTACAAAGACTTTACAGTTTTCAAAGCATGGACAGAAACCAGGGCTGTGGTCCTGCCCGGGCGGATCTGCTCTGACTTGGCAGAGTGGGGGCAGGAAGTCCCTCCAGCTTCCAAAGCCTGGCACAAAGGAAGGCAAGTAGAAAAGGACCTACCCTTTCATCCAAGGCCCCGAGTGACCCCTCATCTGGGCACCTGCAGCTGGAAGCTGAGGGGCTGACCCCCCAGAGTCTTGAGCTATGATCCTTCAGAGGAGGATAAATAACTTCTTACTCGGGGGCTAGAAGAGTGGCAAGTGGGAAAGGGCTCTGTAAGGAAGCCCTGGGGGACAGAAGTGAGGCTGGAAGGACGGATGGCAGTTCCACCTTCGGAAGCCACATGCTGTTCCCTTATGTATAAGTGAGTGTAAGGCACACAGTGGGTCTTCAAGATCCAAGCCCACAACAGATGAAGGAGAGCTCAGTGTCTTTCCCTATGCCTATGTCTCCCAGACACACACACCCATCCCGTAAGGACACAGGAGAACGGCTGCAGTGACTCCCCGTTCCCAGTCCCACAGCCCCACCCCCCACCGCCAACCAGCTTCTATGGGCCTCCACTGAGCCAGCACTGTGCAGCCACCCTGCTCTCAGGCCCCTCCTCCGCTGCTCTGTCACCATCTCCCCATCCCCAGTTCCTGTGTGACTGTTAACAGGTGGTGGCAGGAAGGAAGTGCAGCAGCTTGGTCTGAGGTCCCTGTTTATCCCTGGCTGTGTACAGCCTGCTCAGGTCCTCCAGAACCAAGCACTATGGTAACCAGCTTGTGATGTCAGACCATTGTCTCCATGGAAACCAGCAACGGTATTTGGGTCAACAAGACAAACACTTCTGAGACCCAAACAGGAGACAGTGCTGGAACCGTTGCACGCAGGGTTCTAAGCCCTGGTACCTCTCTTGATTGGGTTCACCCAAGATTCCAAAAGATCCCCCTGTTCTCCCAAGTCAACATCTCATGCCTTATTAGGAAGTTCCTTCTGCTGTCTAACCTCTACCCTTCCGCTCTGTCCTTTTAGATCTCTTTCTCATCATCGCTCTCTGGGAAGAAAACCCACCACCACCCCTTCCTGCACTACCCCCTCTCTCTTCATTCAGGCAGAAATCAACAAAAACACCCTTTAAGGACTGTCAGAGATTTCTGCTATTTCTACAAGGCAGCTAAAGGGGGAGCTCTCCCACTCCGTTCAAAGATGGGAATTCTGGTCTAGCTAATGTCAACCCCTCTAAGAGCTGTTCCCCCAAAGCTCTAAAGCGAAGGACTTAGGGCCACAAGTACTTGCCTGGGGTACCCAGAGCAAGTTCCTGTTTTGGCAAAAGCAGCCCATGGTCCCCTTTCCCCCATTCCAGCAGTGACAGCAGCTCTGCGGACTCCGTGGAGCACAACCCTTTGCGTTCGGCCCTTCCTCTCCGTTACCGTCCCTCCCACCGCACATCTGCGGGCCCTCTCCGCTCTGGGGAATTACCTGATCCTGCTCTGGCTTCAGTCTTCAGCTGAACTTGTTGCGAGCTCCCCTGGTTCCCAGCCCCAGAAAGCAGAGTAGTCATGTGACCCAGGACTGACCAATGGGGAGTCAACTTCCCTGAGGGCGGGGGTGGGTGGAAACTTTTGGCCAATGAGAACTAGAGCGGAGAGGCGGGGTGGGTGGGTGGACGGAAAGATAAGGGAGGACCTGCACAGCCCTAACACCTGGGCTTACCTTCTGGTGGGAGATTGGAATTCTAACAAATTGAATGTTGGGTGACCATCCCTCCTTTCCCAGTGTCTGTTTACTAGAAGGAAGACTCAACTGAAAGGTAAACGGTGGCATCTCCAGAGAGGACAGGGACAAAAACCAAATTGGGCCCAGGATAGACACAGGCAGCTGCAGGATGGGGGAGGGGAGAGTGGCAAGTCGTGGTTAGAAATAGCCTTCCTGCCGCCCTCCCCTTTCTGCTGCCATGCAGATTGTTTAAGGGTGCCACTATCCCTTGTTTAAAAGAAGAGGGGCCTGAAAAGCATCCCCAAATGACATCTGCCGAGCCAGGCCGGGGGTGCCCCTTCCCCCATCCTTGGACCTACGTTTGAGACCTAACCCAAATAACTGGAGGTTGGAGGGTAGGCGCTAAACCCGAGAAGGCTAAAGGCACTTGTTTTCCCAAGTCCTAGGAGGCAAGCCTCCTGCTAGGCTCCAGGCCGGGCCCAGGAATGTGCTCAGAAAAGAAACTTTCTCAAAGCAGGGACGGACAGGTAGGTTGGGGGAATGCGGGCGTAAGACGGGGGGCATGCAGGACTCCCTCCACCCAGGTCCAGCTACAGGGCTAGATCTTTCTGCCATCCCCACTAACCAGGACCCTCAGGGCATACATGACCCCCCACCCCAAGTGCCCTTCCCAGCAGTGACATTTGCCCACCCCAACCTTTGTGCACAGGAACAGCAGGGAGTCCCTGTCTGGATTTTCCAGTCATTTTATTAATCCAACAGTACAAAAGACCCCTCTCCCACCACCTCAACTCTGCCACCCCCACTTTCTTCCAAAACAGTGAAGGAGGGACTGAGCAGGCTTCCCACAGGAGCCACTTTACAAAATGCTGATGTGGGGGAAGGCAGCACAAAAATAGCAACAGATGAAAGGGGACAACAGAACCACAAACACAACACAAAGACCAGCGGAGGGGCCACTCTCTGTTGTTTTAGAGTTGGGGGTGGGGACCCAAAGAGGCCACAGGCCCCTCCTTTCTTCCCACAGCCTCAAAGGTGGCTGGTTGCACTAGACAGGCAAGCCGAGTTCTGCAGCGTTACCTGTCTCCTCTGCACATGCTGGGTGGGGTCTGGGCAACCACTAACCCTCTCAGGCCCGCCCTCCCCACCCCACTGAGCAATGTGTGCAGTAGCGTTTAAAGATCAGCTGTGAGGGGCTCCTGAACAGGTCCCAGGCCCATCTCTGGCAGGCAGTGCTTTAAAGTAAAAACAAAGCACAGCATTGGATTCTGCCTGAGAAATGAGTACTGAACACCAGGCCTGAGGATATAAAGGAACAGGGGAAGAGAGAACACCCAAGCTCTGAACTGCATTTCAGTACCTTGGCGACGAGGGTCCTGCCGCTTCCCCCACCCACAGGCTGTGACAGGGATCCTTTTATCAGAAGAAATGAGGTATAAGGGCCCTGAGCCCTTTCAAGCTTTCTCCTGCAATCCAGCCAGAGAGGTGGGGGAAGGAGGGCACCACCGGAAGTTGAGGACCAATGCTGAGAATGATGTGCAACAGCTGGGCAGGGCCGGGGCACAACACTGTAAGGGCTTCCAGGGCTGTCCAAACTTCCAAATACTCCGGTCTGTCAGACCACATATCCCAGTTTTTGGCAAAAAAATATGGTCATTAGCAGAAAAGCTCGAGAAAGGCTGAGAAAGGACCAGTGACTTTGGTATGAGGGAAATGTGTCCCGACAGCATCCTTTACCTATTGTCTCGAAGCCCCAAATCACCAAGAAAATGCCGTGGCCAAGAACTCCTGCTTCTTCAGACTATTTGGTTCTCCGAGTGGGGAAGAGTTGAGCAGGTTTTGGAGGTGGTAAAGGGAAAGTAGAAAAAGGGGAACATCCCTTTTTATCCCCCAATGCTGTCTCTCAGAGCCCATGGAAGAGCTATTGGAGGGAATGGGAAGAGAACGGAACTCCTCTGGCCGGAAACCTTTAACACTTGACTCCAAAAACTAAGGCTGGAGCTGTGGGGCTAGATAGAGGCATGTTAGGCACAGGTGTTTGGGACGTCCATCCATCTGCAGAGGGGACATCTCTGCCTTCCAGATCTTTCTCCAGCCTCTTCTCTCTTGCAGCCATACCCCTAGAGGCTTCTGGAGACTGCCAACAAAAGGTGGCTCTGCTCGGCAGGGCTTTGGTTTCCTGGATCTCTGTAGATCTCCACGTGAAAGTTCCCACAACAGTGAGCGATCCAGGCTCTCCTGCCTGCCCACCCCAGTTCCTCTTCTGCCCCCAGGAGCCACTGTGTTTCTGCTCCAGGGGGATGGGATGCCAGTGGAAACAAGGACTAAAAGCCAGACGTGAAACAATCACCCTGGAAGAGCAGGGAGGAATGTATGCACTTCCTTGGGTCACCTGGCCAGTGTCACCCATCGTTGGCAGCCACCAGCTGCCCCATGCCCTCTCGGATGTAGACAGACTGGATCTCCTTGGTCTTGAGACAGAGATCGCAGGCCCAGACTGCAGAAGCTTCAGTGGTCAGCAGCCCATAGGCGCTCTCAGTCATGCCCGTGCACTCTCGGTGGAACCACTTCTGGCAGGAGGCCTCACACAGAATGGCGTCCTGGTCGTCGTTCACCTCGCTCCGACAGGCACCGCACGGGTACACCAGGCCCGGAGGAGGCTGGGGCCCTGAGCCCCCACCTGCCTTGCCAGGGGGTGCCAGACTGTTGGCATCTGGAGTGCCCCCACCGCGCCCACTGCTGTTCGGGGGGAAACTGGGCTGACTCCCATTAACGGCAGCAGCAGGGGAGCCTGAGTGGGGCTCCTGAGGAAAAGCAGTGGGAGCAGGTGGATTCAAGGGCTTCCCCCCGTCCTCACCACCAGTGCCGGGAAAGCCAGGGTCTGGACCAGAAAAGGGACTTGTGTTGGGGGGCAGGCTGGGGAGCCCCTGACCAGGTCTCTGAAGAGAAGGGCCAAAAGGTGCTCCTGGCTGGGCAAAGCGCTGCGGGAGAGAAGGAGGGCCCAGCTCCCCTCTGGGGGGTTGTCCCATGGTGGGTGAGATCATGGGACCAAAGCCCCCAACCGGGCCTGGCATCATCTGCCCACCGGGAGGGCTAAAGTTTTGACCCAGAGGCTGGTTGAAGGGTTGGCTAGAAAAGTTCATGTTGCCTGGGGGTGGGTAGCCAGGGCCCTGTGGGGGCATGTTGAAAGCAGGGCCCATAGGGTTGGGAGGGAAAGGGGGGGGCTGTCGACGAAGAGGCTGTGGACCCCCTCCACCTCCAGTGCTGTAGCCTGGGGGTACTTGGCCTGCCATGCCCCCCTGTACACGGAAGCCTCCAAAGGGGACAGGACTGCCAAGAAATGGAGGGGCCGCGCCCCCCACCTTAGGGGCTCCGAAGTCATCCTCAAAAGGGTTGGATGCAACCAGGTGATCCACCATAGGAGTCGGGGGTGGCGCAAACTCCGTCAGATGCGAGTATGCAGGGCCCTGGTGGGGAACAGAAGAGGGAAAGAGAGGGTCACGGAGGGAAGTGCAGACCTAAACCAGGAGAGCACCGGAAACACAGTGCACATTTTGGAAGCTGGCTCTAGCCACCTCAGATCTAAAACCAAGACGGACCTTAGTATGCGACAGAGAAATGGGGGAGCACAGAGCAGCAACTGTGTTTTTAAAACAGGCAGAACTCTGCTGGAATCCCAGCTCTGACACCAAATAACCTCAGGACCCTCAGATTCTTTATCTGTAAGAGAGTCAACTGCCCACCTCCCCAAACCGTTAAAGCAGTACAACACAATCTTGGGCACCTAGGGAAAAATCAGTGATAGGTGCTATTGTTATGAGGGGACCAGGACAGGAAAAATGGGAGAGGAAGATTCTAAACCCGACTGACAAGGTCTTTGGTCAAATCATCTCATCTTCCCCCACCACCCAAACTTGTTATGAAGCTGAAGGAAAGGACCAGGAACAGAGCAACAGAGACCATTTTCTCTTCTCCCTGCCCCTGCCCAAGGCAAACCCTGGAGTGACAGAGTGGACAGTCCAGGGAGGGAGGGCCTGCTAGAATTCTCATGCCCACTGACCACCATTCACCTGAGTGTTTGACTTCCTTCGCTTCTTTTCTGGGCTCTTCATTTGCAAACCTAGAGGAACAGCAAAAAGCAAACACAAGTTTCCCTGAGGTTTCCCCAACCTCCTTTCTCCCAGTCATGCTCGCAGGAACTCTCCTAAATTGAAAATACGCTTACTTATTTACAACAGATAAATACTTACAAAGGTATAGTGTGAAAAGTAAGTTATACTACCACACTCTCAGCTGCCTCTTCCTTTAAATGAGACATCCCATCCCTTGACACTCTCAGATTCCCAAATGACTCCTGAAATTCCACGTGCCTCCAAACCAGGACACCTGCCCCTAACCCCTGGAGGCTTCAGGCTTCCCTCACACATCGCCTCTCGGCCTAAGGACTCCCGCCTCCCCCTGCCCGACTAGTCTCCCTCCAAGACCTCCAAGTCCTCGGCTTCTCCAACCTCCAGCCCTCTCAACGCTCTCACCGGCCTTGCCCTGCTTCCTCCCGGTGCTGGGCGGCGCAGGGGGCGGTGCGGGGCCGCCACCTCCCTCCAGCTTGTCCGGTGGGGGCGGCGCCGAGGCGGCCATGGAGCGGGGGACCCGGGTCAGCAACGGCGGGGGACGGACGCGCCCTTGGGCGGTACCATCGCCCGGAAAGGGTGTCGGGGGCAGCACAGGCCCCCGAGGTGTAGCCACCCAGAGTGCGGCAGAGGGCAGACGCCGACCTAAAGTGGTAAGAGTGCGCTGAACCCAGCTTCACTGGCCGCCTGCGGCCGCAGCCACCGGAACCGGAACTCGGCTTGGCCACCACCACTGAGCTGGCTGGGGGAGGCGGGGTCCGGCCTAGACCTTCCCAGAGCTCCGCCAGGGGGCAGGGCCGTACCACTGCACGACCTGGGCGGGGGAGCGTGCACCATACAGGGGGAGGCAGCGGTACAGGCTAGCTCCCCCGGGCAGGCGGCAGCCGGTTCCCCGCCCTCAACTGGACCGTACCAATCCCATCCAGGGCCGGAGGGCCGCCGCACAGGGGAGCGCAGCCATGACGCCTGGCCGTGCAGACTGCGGTCCCCATTGCAAACACAATCGTGCCCCGATCGGTGGTCCCAAAGGTGCTACCCTGTCGCACCCTCCCGGTGTCCCCCAGTGGTCGCACGCAGCCGACAGTTCCAGTGAGTCCAGGCGGAGCCCACCACCCCAACTCTCCACCAGGAAGGGCCCACAGCGAACAATAGCGACAGTGACTTGAGAGGCTGAGGTTTAAGAAATACGTGTTTTAATGAAGATTCTTTCCCTTTGGTATAAGTGAGACCCGTGAAATCATCCAAACATCAAAAAAGAGGCGAGAGTTCAGTAAAGTCTTCCTTAGAGACGGGCCGGGCCGGCTTCCACGTCGTTGTAGCCCCCCCAGACTCGACGGGTAACAGGGTTTTAGGTTCCCCGCCCTCAGCCCACCGGTGAAACGGTGACACTGATGCTCAGTCAGCGGGACTTCCCCACGCCCGCCTTTCGGTAAGGGGCCCAAGTGCTTCTTCCCGCCCAGTCCCACAGCGGACTTCTGACTTGGGGCTCACAGAAAAGATAATGCTGCCGGCCCCGCTGCCTCCCAGGCCGAGGTGAGAGAAAAGCCAACAGTTGTGAAACGGCTTTGAAGTCAAAGAGATGAATGTATAAATGTAATCTATTACCATCATTTTGTGCTCAAGAATAAGCCACGGAAAACAAATTAGGAAAGTATATCTACAACCCTAAAATATATGCATAAAATAAAAAGTAAATGCAGTTACAACAAATCTGTAGGTGGTATTTGGGGATTGTCTACTGCTTTGAGTCTCAGCGCCCAGTCCTGCCTCCACCAAATCCATCTGGGGGAAATAACAGTCCAAGAGGCCCCAATTCAGTCACCCTCCTCCCCACCCTAGCACAGGGAGGCAGGGTGGAGAATCCAGGGGGAAGGGCTACACTTTGGCTGTAGAATACAACATGCATGCAACACGGAAGGGCTGGGGATGGCGTGTATATACAGACCCCTGGGGTCAGGAGCTCCGCCAGGTGGCACTGAACAAAGAAGGAGTCCATCTCCCCCGGCTGGGAGGGGGGCTCTGAGGAAATCTGTAAAGGTGGCATATGCCCAGGGAGAGGGAACAACTGCCACCCCAGCCTCTGTTCTCCCACCGCAACTGGAGAGGGTGCTGAGCAAGGAGAGGACAGGGTCCCAGAAGCCAAGGTATCAGCACCCCATCCTTGACCTCAGGGGCCCGAGAACTCTGTATAAAATACAGTATCTTAAGAACTAGGAGATGGTCAAAGGCACAAAGTTTAAACACTGGGAAGGGAGGGCTGTTGAGATGGGCTGGAGTACCCTGAGCCCAGGGGTAGACCACAGATGTGATTTGCTCCCCGTTCCCTGGAAGGGTGACTGCCTAACACCACAGGACATTTCCCACTGAGGCACACTGCCCGGGCCTTGAGCACCCCCCTTCCTGAGGAAGAAGGTATCGGGTTGGCACAGGAAAGGCCCTAGGAAGGGGGCCACTCTAGGTTAATACTTTGGTGAGGTTTGGGGAGAAGTAGGATTCTCCCCCAGGCTCCTGACTCATACCTTCTCCCTGAGCTGGGCGCTAAACCCAGTGTCTGCACCGCCCCCAGCTCCTGCACAAGGCCAAGCCCACAGGACGCTCTAGAGTGAGGCCCTGAGAGGAACAGTGGAAGGGGTTGAAGAGCGTCTTCTGAAAAGCACCTGGGACAGATCACAATTTTCGCTCCACAGGTTGCTGTAGACACAGTTCGCTGCCCGCAGAGATGATGGGCAAGTGATTGTCCATGTGGTAACTGATGAGGTGACTGACACTCTCAAAGCGGTGATCCTTTGTCCGAACCTGGGAAGTGGGAAGGGAGAGGGTCAATTCAGATGGAGAGTCAAGTAAGGCCTCAGACCAGAAGCCTGAGGATGCTGAAGTATTCAAGAAGACTGAGAAAGGAGAAAAAGATGCCAGGGGCAGGAGGCTATGGGAACAGGAAGGTCACGAACTGGGAAAAGGCCAAGGGGACAGGAAAAGTTGTGAAGGGTGTCTACTCCTCCCTTGACCTAGGGGAAGGTGGCAAGTCTCAGGGGACAATACACAGTACAAAATGGGGAAAGGAGGCCGAGACTGCTGTAGAAGAGAGAGCAGAGTTGTGAGACACAGTGGGGTAACGCAAGTAAGACACAGGACACTGGCCTGGGCCCCGAGGCTGGAGGAGGGAGTAGGCCCACGGCTCTCTTACAAGAGGAGACTTGGGGTGTCCAGTGTAACCATCTGACACTGAGCACAACCTCTCCAGGATGGTTACCTCGTTCATCAAAAAAAGGGGCTCAGGTAAGATAAGCACCTTTTAGCTCTCCTGGGCATAAAGTTTGGGGATTTGAGGACTGGCCAGGACTAAAGAGAACACAGCTCCAGTTCAGGAAAGTGAGAGGGGAAGGAACCCTAAGCCGCTGGACAGGGGATACCAGGCACCTTGCGAGCAAGGGAGGCCCATAAGGGGTGCCCAGCTGGGAAAATCTAAGGAGCAGTAAGGGAAGGAACAGGGTTGCACAAGAGGGTACTACGCCTCCCTTTGTGCCACCCCCACCCACACCCCTGCCACACTCACCACACCCTCGGGGTCCACCAGCAGTAGGTGCTTGGGCTGCCCACTCTGCAAGCCAGTGAGCACATACTGGCCAGGCGTGGTCGTGCTTTCCCGCACCAGGAAGTCCCCGTTGAGCTGTAGCAGGGCTTCAGCCTCCCGCCGGCTCAGCTTTCCGTGGAACCAGGGCTCACCCCGGAGCTGCTCAGCCATGGCCATCGACTGGGCAGGTGGAGGCACCCGAAGGGCATCTTCGAAGGGCTCTAGGGGTGCAGAGAGAGGACTAAGAGGGGCAGCTGGCACAACACATGCCCAGGACCCAGAACCTTCAGGGAGGTGAGACCAGGAAGGAAAGAGCAGGAAGGAAAGTAGGCAGATGGAGATGCAGAATGGAAAGAAAAGCACTCACTCATGTCAAAGAGGTCTCGAGGCGCACTGCCATTGACAGCAAGATTGGGGGGTCCGGCCCCACCCCCTGCTTGTCGGACCTTGTCCAGGTTCTGGACGTTGACATAGGAAGGATCATCAAAGAGCTCTCTGCCTGCTGAGGAGAAGGGAGGTTTCCAATGACCCCAGCCCTGCCTCCTGTACCCCTGGTTCTGTCCCACTCAGCCCCCTCCATACCTGGGCAGGGTGGTGGAGGTGGCATCTGCTTATGGACTTCCAGGTCTGCCCCAACAGGCTGCCCCACAGGCTGAAAGTGACAAAAATAAGGTGAGACCACTCCTATCCTGGGCCCAACCCACCTCTATCCAAGCAACTTACCAGTGTAGCTCCCAGGTGGCCGGGGGTCTGGGTACTGGGCAGAGTGGGTCGAGCAGGCCCCGGGGCGGCTCCTTCCCGAAGCCTCATGTCCACCACCCCCCCAAGAGGGGGTTCCTTCCCCGGGAAGTCATTATAGTATTGATGGTCAGGTGGCTCTTCCTCCTCCTCGTCCCAAGCTGAGCCATCAAAGCCAGCCATCCTGTGGGGAACAGGAGGGAGTGAAGAATGTGGGTGGGAGGATGGAGGGAGGAGAACAGAACGATGATGGTCAAGTACTGGGATTCCCTTCAGGGCAGGCCCTAGGCTGGCTGTTTTCTATAGTCATTTCATCCTCTCTCACCCCTGTAAGGCAGGCAGTTCTTCCTTCCCCAGTTTTATAAAGAGAATGAGGGTCACAGATGAAAACATTTGCCCCAGGTCTCACAACAAAGGTGGTTCAGCTGAAATGTAAATTCAGATTTGACCTGAAAGTCAAATCTTCTTGATTACTGCACCTCCTTCCAGAGGGGGGGGATGCTCCAGAACATTTTAACCTCCTGTCAATACTCAACACCCACTGGCCCGAGGAAAGGTAGGGATCTCAGGAAAGAGTCGTCGACCCTCACTCAAACTTTCAGTGCCTTCTAGGGAAGGAAAATCAAAGAACAAGGGCAGAGAATGGGCAAGAAAGAGGGACAGGCCATATACAAGGCAGCAGGGAACGAAAAGCCTGTCCAGCTAGATCCCGGACCCAGAGTCTGAGGTCCCAGACTACAGCTCCACCACAGGCGAGTGAGGGAAGAGCTGGCCCTGCAGCAACCCAGGCCTCCCTGATAGCCACCGGAAACTTAAGAACAGCAGGACGTGGGAAGCAGGGACACACAGGTTATTTCCTTCCCTGAACCATTCTGAGCTCAAGTGTGGGAATAGCAAACCTACTTTCCCAGTTCTGGTCTGGGGTCCAGTAACTGTCCCTCCCTCTTCTTCCACTCACCTGTCGTGGGGGGTGACCAGCTTGGGCGGGTTCCTGAGGTATTGTTTGAATCGTAATTCGAAGGCCTGGCCAATGGTGCTGATGACGTCCTGAGCAAGCCCTTCGGGACACTCCAGGATGTGGCAGGCTGAGGGCACAGCAGAAGCTGTCAGTGAGCTGTGAGGCGGGGCTGCTGGGAGGAGGTGTAGACAGGAACACTCGTCCTCCTCAGCAAGAGCCCCTGCTGAGCTCCTGCTGCCCTGCTCACCTGCCTCACAGACAGCCGGCCCTACCCAGTGCTCCCCACCACGCCTCACCTCTCTGATTCACCGGGTCTTTGGCAACATAAGCGACATACTCAGCGGTGTCCTGGGGTGAAGAGTCAGAAGAGGTCAGTTAGCTAAATTTGATAGCCCCACTTCACTCCTGACCCCTAATTCGCAGTCCTTTCCAGTTATCACGTCCGTCCTAGCATGCCCACTTCTCTAGCCAGTGTCTTCCCAATCCCTGCCTCTTACTCTTCTCCCACCACCTTTGCTCTGCTCCCCAACTCACCGGGTCCCCGCCGGATGCAAACGAGATAGACTGCATGTGGTGGTTGGCAATGATCTGAAGGTTAGGGCAGGAGATGGAGAAGGAAGGGGATGACATGTGTCAGGCAGCATCGGGACTCACCTGAGCACCCCTACCCCTAGCCCAGAACCCTGGAGACTCAGTCCCATCCTTCTGGCTTCTTAATCCATGCCCTCCTAATCTCCTCCTGCCCTACTGTCCTGCTGCTCCTAGTTTCTCACCCTCCCATCAGTGTTTCTGGTCCCCCTGCCCAGCCCTGCCAACCTGTCCCCACCAACCTGTTTGCAGTCTGCGGCCATG